AGGGGGGAACAGGGTTATGGGGGGGCCTGAGAGGGGGCGGGGCCGGCGCAGGCCGAGGGCTGGGACATCCGGCTTCACCCCCAGCCCGGCTTGGCCAGAAGTCACCAAGGGGGTGGCTGCCGGAGGTAGCTCTTGCCTCAGTTAGAGACGATCATTTCAGGCAGAGCGCGCTACCCTGAGCCGACGCAGGCTCCCTCAGAAGCCAGCGTGTGTTCCTGTCACATCACCCAGGTGCGGGGACAGGGGCTGGGTAACCGGTGGTCCATGAGGCTCACAGTGGACTTGCACGGTGTGGGAGGATATTTGACTAGGGGACCCCTCATCTCCCCTCCAGCTTCATGATCAAGTGATTCTAACACCCGAGAACTCTAAAGAAAACTGAAGGAAATGGCTGGTTCCAGCCCTGCCCTCAAAGAGCCCACGGTCTAGTTGGAGAGTCCAGCTAAAGACCCATGAAACAAGCAGAGAATGAAATTAGGCAGTGCTAATCACATGGGTCTGAAGTGGCTGGGGACCCTGGGTAAGTCACCACACCTCTCTGAGCAACTGTCAAGAGAGTTGGACTGTATCAGTGGTTTTCAAACTTTCTGGTCTCAGGACCAGTTTTACACTCTTAAAAATTAATGAGGTCTACAAAGACCTTCGGTTTATGTAGCTTATGACTATTGATGTTTAACATATTAGAAACCAAAACAAATTTTAAAATATTTATTAATTTATTTAAAAGTGATAACACACTCATATAGCAACATCAATAATATATTTTATGAAAAATAACTATGTAAATTTAGTAAGAAGAGTGACTTTTTTTTTACATATTTGCAAATCTCTTTAGTGCATGGCTTAACAGAAGCCAGCTGTGTTCTCATGTCCGCTTTTGCATGCAGAATCGCATGTCGTGTAGTTTCTGGAAAACCCCACTGTTCCTTTGTGAGAGAACAAGAATGAAAGGCAAATAACATCATAGTATTATCAGGAAAATAGTTTTGACCTCTCAAACCACCTGAATGGGTTTCAGGGATTCCCAAGGGTGCTTGGAGCACTCTATGAGAATGGCTGGACTAGATCATCTCTTAGGGCCTAAGCATCCATGACTGTAGGGGTAGGGGTGCCTGGGACAGAGAGTGAGTGTTGTTGGAGGTCAGAGGGAGGAGAGGTCATCTTGATCTGGGATGTTCAGGGAGGTCTTCCTGGAGGAGGTGGGCTTTGCCCTGGGCCATGGAAGCTGGGAAGAGAGTGTGGAGAAGGGTGGAGGAGAGATGAGCATGGCAGGAGCAGAGGGGTGCACAGAAGTGGAAGATCAGCAGGAGACAGGTCTGTGTATCTTGAAGATGCCCACCAAGGGTAGAGAGAGAGTGGTAGTTCAAGGGGTAGAGGAGGTGAGAGAGTTTGGGTGGGGCCAGGTGACCTGCAAGCAGACACACCTAGTACAGTGGGCAGACCAAAGATACTGGAATGTCTGAGTTACTGCCTGCTGCTCATCTGGGAAGCTTCCTCGAAGTTCCAGAAAAGGGGTGAAGCCCACTGCTCTGTAGGCCGTGGGCTCTGTGGGGGGGGAGGGTTGCAGGAGCAAGACATCTTCAGGCCAGTTAGGGTCACTCAAAGCTTCTGGGAGCTACGCTGACCTGGCAACCCCTGACATCATGGGCCCTCCTTTCTTTCTGGTGTAGGCGGAGTCAGGAGCGTGTGTCTGTCCACCCCCACCGCCTCCACCCCAGCTTCGACTTCGGCCACCAACTGCAGACGCCTCAGCCCAGATATTTGGCTGAGGGCACTGACTGGTGAGTCTTCAGCATCCCTGGGGGAGATAGGGAAGGACTGAGGACTTGCCAGATCCATGGAGTTCCTGTTTTCCTTCACTTTGAAGGGTGCAGGAGGCGTGGTCCTCTGTCCCCAGCCTTTCCCCCTGCTCCCAGCCACCCTCAGAGCCAGATGGCTCCACCTGTGCCTGGTTCCAGCAGTTAGCTCAGATGTAACTGGGTACTGTCAGGTGCCCAGCCTGGGGCTCAGTGTGTCTGATCCTGCAGCGGAGGAGGGAGCCAGGGATACAAAACATTTCCTAAGCTCAATGAGGGCTATGAACTGGCGGTCCCTGGGGAGAAGGCAGAAAGGAGAATTCGGAGGAGCTGGGGTGGTCAGGGAAGGCTTCCCGGAGGAGCTGGGTCTTGAGAACTGCCAGGGCATGCAGTAAGGCAGTGCAGGATTGGGTGGTGTAAGTCCAGGCTCACATCATACCTGAAGAGCCAGTTTGGAGGTAAGGTCTGGGGCAAGAGGCTGGGAGAGAGGTGGGGGTTTTGTTTTTGTGTGTTTGTTGGCCTGGATGCAGGGTTGCTTGGTTTTGGATGCTGGGTCCTACCTAACTCTCTGGTTCTAGCTCAGAAAGGGGTTGATCTTAACCATCAAATACTTTAAAAAGATGTGCAGTTCACTGAGTGTTTAGAGGTTAAGGGCATCATGCTTGCAACTTATTTTTAAAGAGTTCAGGGGGAAAAAAACTATTTATCTCCACAGAGGGGTGTGTGTGTGTGTGTGTGTGTGTGTGTGTATATATATATATATATATATATATATATGCGTGTATATACTCATGGTGGGGAGAGAGAGGAAGAGACAGAAAAGGAGATAGAAATGCAATAAAACAGTAAGTGAAATGGGAAATCTTATGGGATGAAGGGTATCCAGAAATTTTTTATGCTATTTCTGCAACTTTTAGGTCAAAAAGGTTTTTTTTAAAGAATGTTGAAAAAAAAAATTCCTCAGTGGAAAAGGATGGGCTGTTTAAAAAATCTGATGTGCCATTGTGTCATTTTTCAGCCATTTGGTCAGGCAAACTGGCCTGTCAAGGATCTCTTTGGGAGCCCTTTCCATGAACACGTGGGAATGATTCAAACGGACAGTTTCAGTTAATTGAAGGCTAAAGGTACTTCTAGGTGCAGGAAACAGTGGTTGTAACATGTCTCATTGTCTCCAGCTCTCTGCTCATTCTCAGGAACACTCTCCCCTGAAATTCAACAATTCCTTAAAAGGTAGATTGCACTGCTGTCAGCTTCAGCCCAGCCTTTTTCTAATTAGCAGATTCAAATTAGGAAGATTTAATTGTAGTTTGGATGAAATTCTGTCCCTCAGCAGTCTAGTCAATTCAATTCAATTCAACACACATGGAGCATCCCGGGCCCTGGCGCACGGTGGAGTGATTTAAACACACACGATGAGGCAAGTGGGACTGGACAGGTGACAGGTGGGAACGGTCCTGGAGAGATGTCGGGAGGAACAGTGCAGGTGTTAGCCCAGTCCCCAGCTTTCCTTATTTAGCCAAACTCCTGGTCCTTTTCACTCATTTCAGCCTCTCAGAGTCCTCCTGGCCCCTGCTTGCCCCAAGAAACATAAAGAATGAAGCCCTGGGAGCTGCCTGTCCTGCCCCCACTTCCCAAGTAGGAAGATGTTTCCAGCGGAGGAGATGACAGTTTCTCCTCCCTTGTAATTAGCTCTGCTCCAGTGAGGGCCAGCCTAGTGGTGACAAGGGGTTTTTGTAATTGTGACTGTGCTAACTGCATCCCAACCTTCTTTTCCAGAGAGGCCTCTTCTGCCAGGAGATGGGCAGCCTGGTAATTGGATTACAGGAAATGCATTATAGGAGGGGCTACTCTCACCCTCTGCGAGGAGCCCAGGGGGCAGAGGGAAGCTTGTCTGTCTGTCCCTTTAGAGAACCATCATAAACCATTGACTTCCACCCTAGTCATTCCAGGAATTGGGAGGCAGGCCCTTGTCCAGACCCAGGCCTGAGGCTTCCCTGGCTTTCCCCCCTTACTTAGGATATCTTAACCCTACCCAAACAGCTTCTCTCAGCTGGGCATCCTGGTCTGAGAGTGTGTAGCAGCAGCGGGCCCTGGGCATAAATCCCAGACACTCCCCCTATTTGGCCCATGCCTGGTAACCTGACCCTGACCTTGAGCCATAGCCCCCATACCTCTCATGGGCAATGTCCTTATCATGCTCCTTCTGTGACTCAGTACCAGCTTCTCAGGTCAACTGTGACCCCCAATTTGGACAGCATCTCACTTTGCCACAGCCCTAACCCTGCCCAGGTAGAGGTCTGTAGGCACCTGGACCCTGTGGGCAGAGCGTGGGTGGAGGATGAAAGACTCCTACAGTCCTTCCCTCTGCAGGCAGCCCTGCCACAGCAGAGCCTCGGGAGCCCCCAGAGTCTGGACTTGCCCACAGATGGTGCTGGCATTTTTGGAGCTAACTCCCTGGGAGGAACTAAAGGGTCTGCACAGCAACCAGACCATACCATGTTCAAAAATATTCACAATGAGAAAGTTCAGTTTGATGTGTAGATACAACGAACAAAAATTAGACATTGAAACAATGTTGGCAGGAAATCTCCAAAACACAGTTCTGGGTTAACTCCATGGCTTTAGGTCTGTGAGATATTTCTGTGACTCCTTTCAAAACTTAGCAGGTTCTGACAGGCTTGCAACAACAGAGACGGGAGACACTGTGTCTCTAGGGGCTGTCTCCTCAGGGCAAGTTCAAATCCAGATTTCTTTAGGACCATAGACTACATCCCCTGTTGAGTGAGCTGGATCCAGGAGGGAACTTTCTTTTTTATTTATTCATTCATTCATTCATTTATTTATTTGTTTGTTTGTTTGTTTAATTAATTAATTACAAATGTTCGTGAGATACAAAGCTGATTGTCCCCCCTCCTGTCCATGATGTGAGGGCCGGATTCATACTGAGGGCATATCCATTACCAGAAATTACTTTTGTACCCTTTGTCCCCTCCAATCATCCCCCAACCTCCCTCCCCTTTCCCCTCTCCCCTCAACTCCAATTTGTAGCCCTAGGAATGTTAGGAGGAAACTTTCTGATGAGACGATAAGGGGGGAGTCCCAGAGCCCACCCAGGGCAGACCGTCCCACCTGTCCGAGGGTCAAGGTGCCTTTTGCTTCTCTACTTAGTGCTCTGGGAGTTGGGGGGGGACTCTGTTCCAACTTCGTTGGGACTTCGCTTTTGGTAGAATTCCCTGAACACCTCTTTGCTGCTTTGAATTTGCTGGGTTCCCTAAGACTGCTGAGTAAATGCAAAAAATCGGAGCTTCTGCCATTCTATTAGTCCATTTCTGTTGCTTATAACAAAATACTTGAAACTGGGTGATTTATAAAGAAAACGAAATTTATTGCTTACAGTTTCTGAGGCTAGGAAGTCCAAAATCCAGGGAACACATCTGCTGAGAGCCTTGGCGGTGGCAAGAATAACAGCAAAGTATCACACTGGAAAAACAGTGGAGCAGAGAAAGCAGAGACAGACTCTCCCTCATTTTTTTTAAAAACTCTCTGAATCGCACCCCTGACCACCATTTTTAATCCACTCACTGCAGCATGGTCCTACAATCTAATCAACTCTTCAAAGCACCACCTTTCAATGACTATAACAGTATTTCTCACCCTCAGCATTTATAGTAGGGATTAAGCTTCCAATAAATGAACCTTGGGGGACACAATTCAATCAATCCACAGCAGCCATGTAAGGGTGCCCCATGGAATTCCTATCCCTGAGGCAGTGCAATGGGATGAGCCCAAGCAAGGGTCCAAAACCCTGGTGGCCCTAACTGGCCAGCCAAGGGCCATGGATAAGACACTGGTCTTCTCCAGGCCTCAGATGGATCTGTGAAAGTGAGGGGCTGGGCTAGTGGATTTCCAAGTTTGCTTCCAACTGGCTCCAAGAGTGCAGCTCCGTTCCCAAGTGACCAGCTTGTTATGAGTTACTCTGGGGATTAGGGCTGACAATGGCCCCTTGCATGTGTACAGTGCTCTGCAAATGGCTTTCTCTTCCATTTTCTTGTTTGACTTTCCAAGTATCACCGTGAGCAGCTACTGCTATCCTCATTTTAGAAATTAGGATCAAAGGGGTGAATGAACTAGAGAGGGTCTCACAGAGGGGTGGACCTGGGACAAGGACCCGGGCCTCCTGACTCTGGCAGTGGTACGTGCAGTGCCCATGAGAGTGATGGGCAGTCCTGCCCACACAGCTGGACCTGGGCTGTGGAGAGAGGAGGGTAGGGCTGGATGCCAGGAGCCATCAGAGAGTTTCTGTTGGTTCTCCAGTGATCACACCCTCATGAGCGTGACGCAGGGAATAAGGTTCAGACCCACCCCCTTGAAGGCTGATGGCTTTACTGGGTTTTCACCCTCAGAATTATCTCAGAAGACACTGTCCAGGGCGAGGTGTAGCCAAACCCAGGCTGCATGGGAACCAGGCTCGGCAGCAGCAGTCAGGTGGGAGCATACGAAGTTAGTGGTCAGGGCCTGCCCAGGCAAGATGAGGAAGGGAAGTCTGCAAGTCCCAATGCCACCTGCCCTCTGGCCTCTGTAGGACCTGAGGTCATACGTTCTGAGGCCCTGAGCTTCCTCTCAGGGATGCTTTTACAGCTTGGCTGCACTTTCCTAAGGGGAAGCCATATCTTACTCACCAGGGCCCACTTCACATGCAGACCTACACAGCACACTGCAAAAAGTAAGTGCCAGCCACAAAACTTTCTGTTATATGTGTGAGAAGTTTCCATGTACGATTTTTGGTTCTTCTGTATTTCTGAAGTTGAATGCCCACAGATGTCTTGCTTGGAGTTAGTAAACATTACCTTTCCACCATAAAGAAACTTAGGAAAAACAAAAATAACAAACAAACAAAACCCGTTTTTATTGCAGACAATGTCAAACAACAAAGAATAAGAGAATAGTATAATGAACCCTCGTATATCCGTCATCCAGCTTTGACA